AGCAATTAGTAGAAAAAAAAGGAGAAAAATGAAGCAATAATTAAATAAAATGAAATGAAATACGAACTATTATCACGTTGATAACCAAATGTGTAATACTCATTGTTTTGTAATGGAATAATTATACAACATGCATCCAATAATTGTAAAATTATATTATGGCCAGTGAAAAATACCCAACAGAATATGCTAAAATTGTTCACATTTTCAATAATGAATAGATATAAGCAATAAAATATGCTTAATTTTAATGATAGATAATTTTTTGCATGCCAAACAGAAGTTTATTGTAAAATGTCGCATTTGTTACGTTTATTATAAAATGTCGCATTTGTTACGTTTATTATAAAATGTCGCATTTGTTACGTTTATTAAAAATGTCGCGTTTAATGAATTCGATATAAATTAGTCTCTACCTATATCGAACTATCGCGATAAATAAGAAAACAAAAAGATGAAATAATTTTATAGTATATCTAAAAAGCAATGTTCTTCCAAAGAATGCTTATATAAGAATTTTTAATTAGGTGTAATTTTTGCATTCGATGAGTTTCTTTAACTTAGTAATTCATTAGATTATTAAAAAGAAATCCCTTCCTTTTTTTTGAGAATAATTCAAAATTACATTTAAAAAAAAAAATTGAAATTTACTACGAAAAAAAAAGTTACCTGTAGCTGCGTATTTTTTTCATCGAAACTAGCATCGCATAACGGCCGTAAAATGTTATTGCGGCCAATCGATCCAAGCAAACGGCACTTATATGTCTAATTGTGAAATAAAATTTGTGTGAAATTTACAAAACAAATGAAATTATTATGATAGAATAGATTTTAATAGCAATAAAGGATTGGATAAAAAAAAAGAATGAAATAAATGATACTATAAAATTTAATTTTTATTGAAACAAAATGTTGCATCAGAAAATAATTGCTAATTTATTTAAGATTACTAATTTGCTTAAATAACTGAAGTTGAAAAAACATAAAATTGTTTATGGTTGAAAAAAAATTGATGCTTGAAAATGAATGAAATTATGGAAATATTGCAGAAAAGGTATTGTATATAATTTGGGAAAATTGTATTTTAAAGATATTCAACATTAGTATTAAAGAAATGAAATTGATAACACTTGATAATAATTAAAATTGCATAAATTAATTCCCATTGTTAATTATTATCTATTAAAATCAATTCAGCTGATCTTTGTACCGATTAATTTAATTACTGCGCAATTAAAATTAACCTATATATACAACCTAATTTAATCTATAACTTAGTTAAATGAATAAAAACTTTTCCATTCTATTGATTAGCTTATATGGCAGATAATTTATAACTTAATTAAATGAATAAAAACTTTTCCATTCTATTGATTAGCTTATATAACAGATAATTTATAACTTAATTAAATGAATAAAAACTTTTTCATTCCATTGATTAGCTTATATAGCGGATAAAATAAATTTATTTCTTCTTTTTTAGAATAATTAATATTTGATTAGAATGATTAATTACATTCCAAATATTAAATATGCAAAAATTTAAATTATTTAATTTTTTCATTTCCAATCAAATATTCAAATTTTGGATTAAATTTAATATAATTTTAAAATAATAAAATATTTTTGAATAACACGAAAATAACATTTACGTGAGTGTAATTGCCCATGCAATCCAACCCATAGCATTAAATATTTTCATCCATAATAATGGTAGATGTTGTCGTTTGAGTACAATTGGTGGATAAAGATATGATGTTGTCACAATACCATGGATAAGATCAGCAAATGCTAAGCTAAGTAAAAGAATGAAACTGAAAAGATATAATTTGAATTAATTAACAATTCATTTCATTTTTCTCCTTTTTTTACTTAAAAAAAAAAAAAATTTCAAAAACGAAAAGTAAAATCAAAAGTAATATATATGCAAAAAATAAGTATGCAAATTAAAGGAATTAGAAATTTAAAAAAAAAAAGAAAAAAAAGGAAAACAAGAAGAATTAAATGGAAAAAATAAATAAATTAAAACTGAAGGGTAAAGGTTAATTTTTATCATTCATTTATAAATTATCAACAATTTACTACATTTTATCCCTAAAAAAATAAAAATCTTATATACTTTTAATAATTTTAATCTATAATAAATCATAAATAATGATATATTATTAATAAATATAACAGATGAATGGAACATATTATGAACTATGTTACAAATCAATTTTAATTATCCCAAATAATTGTAATTCATGATACGATGATTATTTTATGATTATGTATTAGAGAA